GATCTTAACCCGAGAAAGATAACCTACGTCGCAGAGGCGCCTGCGAAGACTGTTGATTTTTGTTAATTTTTCATAGAGGTCTAGTGATTTAAGTTTAAAATTACTTAAAATATAAAAAAATATAATATAAATGCATTTTATTTTTACAATAATGCCAAACCTTTAAAATGACTAGATTAACTTAAATAAATATCCATTGTTAGTATAAAATTGACGCCTTAGAAAAGCATGCGCCTCTGAAGCGTATGGTTATCTTTTACGTACGTTGTCATATGGTTATCTTTCTAGGGTTAAGCGAAATTGCGCAACGTCTCGGCGAATCTGACTTTTCCGAGACGATGCAAACTAGTTCGGTTGTTCGAGTGTCAAGCGGTTAAAGAATAGTCAGCGGCCCGACTAGTTCAGAGCTAGTCGAACAAGTATCCACCGGTTCGCGACGCTAACAAATCGTTCTTGTTCGTTGCAGTGTGCAAGTACATCTGCCACAAGACCTGCGAGGACAAGGTAAGCACCGATATCCCCTCGCCTTTTTCGCGCGCCGGTCCGGATCCCCATCGCTTCGAAACGGATTAGTATCCGCGATCGCGGGACCCGTCTTCTCGGAAACCTTTGTGACAGAGTGGAGAGCACTTCCTCGTACACGAGGAGGCTCTCGCGGCCGCGGAGAGCTCGTACTTCCTGGTACTCAAACAAATCTGCCGTGCCTCGAACACGTGAAACAAAACGTTCCGCGACAACGCCGGCTGTCCCGTCCTGGACACGGTCTGTCCTTCCACAATGCAACTAAGCCGGCCGGAGAGATACGCGTTCGAGGAACGGTACCGGAAGCGATCGGTAGCAGTCGCCACGCCAGAGATCGGGGCTAACAGATGCATCTTAATTCGTGCACGCCACCGGTGCCGTGGCCGATGAGATTCCCCGGTTCTTCGAAGCCGACGATATGGCGGTGCTCGATGCAAATGTGTCCAGGCTATGCGACAAACTTATGGGACGCGTATGAAAATGTTGTGGACGATGGTCTGGTGCTTCCGTAACCCTGCGTCTTCGAGCTTTCACGGTGTTGGCACGTTTTTAACGCGAGATCTATTATTCTGGTCGCACATTTTTTATTTTGAAATTGTTCAAATTATCGGGGCTATTTCTTATGAAACGGTTGGATAGATTCTTCTATACAAATTTTTATTGTAAGTATAACTGCGGGAAGTCTGAATAAATTCGGTCTTATTCTTCAGAGTTCGGTAGGTTTAGTGTTAAATCGAAGAGTCGGCATCGTAACCAGGCAACAATGTTATTGCGAATTTTAACGTTCAAGAAGTTAATTTAGTTTCATTATATCTTTTGTATAATTTTCACAGAATTATGGGCAACGCACTAGTTTAGGCTTGGTTAAAGGACGGCCAATAGATACTGTTTAAAGCAGGGTGCGATATTTTTAGATTTACGGAGCACAGAAAACAGCAGTTTTATATCAGTTTATAAAAGTAATAATAAGACATTTATCCCGATTTTTAACAAGCGTTATTATAACATTTGCCGTGAGTAAAATATAAGTTGAACGAATAAACGTATCTTTACAATATGAATAATCGTAAATTAAGAAATTAGTGACCTTAAAGACCTGAAGTCTCGTCAAAAATATGTGTCACGCTGATCTAAAGATTTCAGAGCCTAAAATCATACTTTATAATAAATGAATAAAGAAGACAGGTAGCTTGTTTCATACGAAAAATTCTGCACACTTCGTATACTCCAACAATTGCATACATTACTCGATGCAACGCTTCCTATCAAGGTTATGAGCTCACCTTTGGACAAACAAGCGAGTGGGTTAAAATCACACAATCATAAAATATAACGCATACACGTGAAAACGTTGCGAGGGCAAGATAAATTATAAAGCGACTATAAATTAACTCAAAATAATCTCAACGATAAATTTGGTCACTGACCAAACAGCGAAGACAATAACAATCCTTGTTTGTCGCAGCGAGGATAATGCGACTCGCGTCACCGCGAGATTCTAACTTGCCGAAGTACAAAAGAGCCTTTCGGTTCGTCGCAAAAAAATGGCAGGGGAGGCCTGAAAAAGCGAGCACTGCGAACGGCTGACGTGAAAGCGATGCCGGGCCGTTGTTTCTCGGATGTTTTATAATTTTGTCGGCTGGCGTAGATCTCGGCCGAGCTGGTTGTGTGAAATGCGGTGTGGGTTCAGTCACCGGGCAGGGCACGAGCCTCTCTTACCTTACCTTCTTCGTATCTCGAGGCACTCGTGTGTCACACCGGCTCCTCGCACACCGACGAGCAACACACATCTTCGACGCAGCCATGAGCCAGCGGAGAGAGACTAGCGGAAGGATGAACGCTGGACGTCGAGGAGAACGTGCCCGAGACAGTGGCAGAGAGATAGATGAAGGTACGCGGGGTAAGAAAAGAAGGGAGAGAGAGAGAGCAAAAGGGAGAGGGAGGATAAGAGTGCTGGACTGAAAGAGAGAAAAAGAGAGAGAAAGAGAAAGAGAGAGAGAGAGAGAGAGAGAGAGTGAGAGAGAGAGAGGGGGGAAGAGGAGCACGACTTCCTTCTGTAAGTGCCGGAACGTCGTTTGTTACGATGGTTTTGTGGCACCGCGAACAAAACGGTCGGCCCGATCCCTTTGATACGTCCATTTTCGACCGAGAGCCTCCATTACCGCCGCAGGAATCTACCCCGGTGGATCTCTTTCCGCGACACATGCACACGGTGAAAGCGAAAGAATTCTTGCTCGGCGCAGAGCGCGATTGACATTTAAGAAGCATCCCCGCTGATGCCGATAGTCTCGTCCCGGCGGACGTTTGACTTTCGCTGAACTTGTCATCGATGCCGGGCAATTAGCGGCCGCTGTTCAGGGGGGGAGAATTGACATTTTCGCTACGGGGCAAAAATGCCGGAAGGCATAAAGTTTAATTAGCTAGATTCGACCGATAGATTGCGGCTAGGCTCGATACGCGGGGGGACGGCTACTTGAATATCCAGTTCTATGGCTGATTATATTGAGCCCGTTTTGTTCTGTCACGATTATGCGCCGGGCTAAAACGAGAACAATCCTAGCCTAATTGGTGATTCGCCAAACCGTTTCCTGATATTAATGAGGGGAAACGTTGAAACACTGCGAGCATCCTCGGCATACAGCTCCGGCAGAAAGTTTCTCTGTTCGGGAAAGACAAGAGCAGATTTTCGGATGTTCGTCGCGCTGCGCGATTATCAATTTTCGGCTGACGATCGAGCGTTTGCGTTGAGATCATAAATCGGAGAGGATAGAGCTGGATTTATATTTTAAGCTAAATAGCTAAAATAGCTATTTTGAGCTAAAATAGTACCGAGGAAAGGAATTCTTAAGACGCGTGGACGGTGAAGTAAGTGGACAGGGATAACGAGAGAAGAATTCCTAAAAATTGTGCACACTAAATTATAATGTGATGCGCATGAAAAGAAAGGATTGTTTAGGGCTCTGCGTGCTAAATTATGATGTGGAGAGCACTGAGAGAAAGAATTATTTAAAACTGTGCGTAATAAATTATAACGTGGAAAGCAGCAAAACAAAGAACTATTCGAAACTGTGCATACTAAATTACAACGTGAAGAGCTCCAAAAGAAAGAATTATGCAAAACTGTGCATGCTAACAAGGAAGGGACTGATTAAATCACTCTATACTGATTGTATCACTCTGTAAGGGTACCGAATCAAGGAATAATGGAAGGAGAATGGTATCGAATGAAAAACTTCTAAACTTGTACGGTACCAAGTGATAAATTAATGAAACGAAATAACTATCAAATGAGATAATTACAAAATAGGACGAGCGCCAAATGAGAGAATAATTGAAAATAGGAAATACCAATTGAAACAATTACAAAAGAAAAATGGTACCGAGTGAAAAAATTTCGAAAGATACATGGCGCCAAATGAAAGTATTATAAAAGAGTAATTGTATGAAATAAAAAAAAATGATACAAAAAAACAAGTACCAAGTGAAAGAATTACAAAATAAAAATGACACCAAGTGAAAGGATTATACAAGAAGGCAAGTATCAAGTGAAAGAATTACAAGATAAAAATGGTACCAAACGAAAGAGTCGTACAAAAAGACAAGTACCAAGTGGAAGAATTACAAAATAAAAATGATATCAAATGAAAGAATTATACAAGAAGATAAGTACCAAGTGAAAAAGTTATTAAAAGAATGATACAAAATGAAAGACTCGAGAAAACCAAATACAGTAAATTCTCCCTAATTGACGCTGCTCAACTTGGAAACAAAAATGAACAACTTTGTAACAGGAGGTTATTTTATTATTATAAAATAATGCCTCCCTTATTATTATAAAATATTGCCTCGTTTTTATAGTTATGTCAATAACTGTAAAGCCGCAAGGCTAGAACAATCGTGTCTCCGCTTCCCAAATTGTCCATTTTTGTTTCCAAGCTGAGCGTCAATTAGGGTCAATTTACCATAGCGCCAAATGGAACAACTGCAAATTAAAGAAAAGCATAAAGGATGAGCAAAGTATGTTGTCACAACGTGTCCCTTCTATCGCGTCAGTGAAACTTTCAAGCGCAAGTGTACCCGAAGCGTCCAACGAATCATTTATCCGGCGGTCATCCGATCTAAGATCGCGGGGGTCGTTAGGAATTCGTGCTTATCAAGTTTACGGGCATCGGCACGAACGTTATTGCCCTTTCGGGGAGGTACAAAGGGGAACGGGCCCTCGTCCTGCATAAGAATTCTGCGGCGGGTCACGTTCGTTCCGGAGGTTTTGAAATTCGAGACAGCTCATGGTTCCTTCCAGGAGTCCGCGGCGTCTCGAACCTCGTCTTCGCGGTATTATGGAACATCAGCCTTCGCGTATGATGTAATTCGTCATGGGCATGGTGACGAGGGATATTTGTTTGGTCGCTGGTCGCCTTGAACTCGCCCGGACCACGCGTTCTTTCGTGTTTCGAGCGTACGTTAAGACGGCTAATTGCGTGAACTATTAGGTCACTACGTAAACCGGTGTCGCAATTAGGGGACCGTCGAAAAATCCTGTACGAGCCATCAAGTCGGCGTGTACAGTGGTGTTTTAGAAATGAAAAGAATTCGGTCAGCAAAATTCGTTTAGATTACTGTTTTAATAAATTAAATTGGAGATCTCAATGTAACTGGAGAATAAATGAATTTAATCATTTAGAATATAAATTAAATGATTTAACATATAAATTTAATAATTTAAAATATAAATCTAATAATTTAAAATATACATTTAATAATTCAATGTATAAATTTAATAATTTAGAATATAAATTAAATGATTTCAAATATAAATTTAATAATCCAAAATATAAATTTAATAATTTAAAATATACATTTAATAATTCAAGATATAAATTTAATAATTTAAAATATAAATTTATAAATTTAAAGAATAAATTTAGTGACTTAAAATATAAATTTAATAATTTAAAATACAGATTTATAAATTTAAAGAATAA